GAAATAGGGAGCTGGAGGACACAAAGAAAACAAGACAGATGAGTTAACAGGATGAGCTAAGCAACCTCTCATGCTCACATCTCAATAAACTCGCTCAGTCACTTCCATAGCCTGAATTTTCAGTTCTTGACATTTGGAAGAGAGGTTCTTCGAGTTGTCCTGGATTCAAGTCCTGGCTCCTCTACTTATCAGCTATGTATTTGGGGGCAAATATTGCAATCTTACCCTCCTCGTTTGTAAAGTGGGAGCAGAAAATCCTAACCTATTAAGTTGTTAAGAGAATTTGATGAGATTACTTGTGTTACTTATTTGAAAGTGTTTGGTTCTATACTTGGCACAGTGCACATGTTTATGGAATGTTAGTTTCCTCCAAGCACCTGCCCTTCTCTTCCCCTCTTCTAAGTTGAGGGATGAGAGTTCTACTAGGTGAAGATTGGGGCTGGTAAATATTTGGGCAACTGCACAGTAAAGTGAGAGCTCTGGGTATCCCCATTATATCTTTCATTTGGTCAATCTCTATTGCAATCTTAAGAGTCATTTTCCTGAGACAGACCTAACCATAAGCAATGTTACCGTGTGGAAAATATTCAGCATTATCACAATGATGATGTTTCAAATGAATGAATGAATATAAAATCTGAATACAAAGATAAAATTTCAAAGATGGGGGAAGTCCATTTTTTAAATCATAACACCACTACTACCCTGGAATTGGACTCTTGGAAAGATGTCCAAAATTCTTGTACTAGTCCCTCCTCCTTACTAATGTCCATAACTCCCTAACAGCACTGCTGATCTGATACCAGAAGCCCAGAGCAAAGGAAGGCAATAGCAGCAGGTACTCCCACTGTGTACCAGTCATTTTGAAGCAGATAAAGTCATTAAGAAAAATTTTAACAATGTATAACCTTTAAGCTTTACTCTACTAACAGCAGGTAGCTTGCCTTTCAGAGACATGAGCCTGCACTGAAGTCACCCGTGAGCAGGACTCGACCTTCATTTTCAGTATACGCAGTATTAAATATTCATGGTCCACGTAACTGTAGCATAAGAAGCAGCAGAGTTTAAACATGAATCAAAGGAATAAATATCTTCACACATGTGAGTCATCCTTTCCCAGAATGCCCCTGGAGAAAATGCAAATACCTAGGGCCCTGAGCTTCCAACTTTCTTTTGACATTCTAGAAGCAGCTGGAACTGCTGCATTATGCAATCCATGAATCCTGCCCTGACTCTGATAAGTGAGGTCCCACCTCCTCCCCTTATCTATTAGAGAAAAATTACTGTTCTATGTCAAAGCAAGGAATTAGACAGTGATGCAACCAGCCATGGGGCCATTATCACTCACAGGGCATCAAGAGGCACTTTGGACCTGGTTGTCATTTTTTAAAAATCTTTGCTTCACAGAGTATCCAAGTGTGGGGGAGTTGGCATAGCCATTGAGAGCCATCAGAACTAGGAGTGAGTGCTTTTAAAAAGAATAAAAAAGAAATAGAGTTATTTTAGACAATACCTGATAGTGAAGTTCATGGAAGATCTTCAGGGGAGAGGCAATACTGAGAATGGTGGCTCCATGTTTTCTGAGCCTATTCAGGAACTGATGTATCCCTATCCAAAGACTTGGTGGAACGTCTTGCTCTGCTTGGGTGTTTCTAGAGAGTCTACTGCTGGGATGGCCAAGCATCACTTTAACACAGTTTAATGTTATTTTCTTTGGTTTTTAACTCCAGCAGTTGTGAGGACAATTTGTCCTGCTAAATAGTAATCACTTGAGGCCATCCGAGTGACTATCCTATAGTCATCACTCTAAGAAAATTAAGACCCAAAGATGAGCTTCTCAAACCCTCGAATGGAAAATAAAACTGCTCAGGCATTTATGTTGACCTAACAATGGGGGGTGGGGGAACAGATAGACAGGTGAGGACATCTTTGGAAATGACTGACCCACTGCCCTCTGCATAATGAAATGAGTTTTGAAAGGTTAAATAGATTAATCCACCAATCATGGCATTTACCTGAACTGACTTCCCCACTTGCTGATACACAGAAGTAGAATAACCTCTTGGGTGACTTGTGAGCTCAAAACACCTGAATGGGCCTGCTGTGACCCTGAGACAACAGAGCTCACCACTGGCGTCTGCTGATAACTGATTTGCATTCCTCACTCAGGTCAAAGGAGTGGGTGCAGAGAGTATCATATCTTGAACTTGTGCTGCTAAAACATTATGACCAGTTGGGAGAGTCCAGATCTGGTTAAAATTCACCAGGACAAGTCATTTCCAGGACAATGCCCATTTAAGTTCACACAAAGGAAAACCTATAGAGTTTGGGTTTATTTATTAGAAGGTATAAATACTAATTAAAATTTATCTGAAGAATACTGAGCACTTTTTTTCCAGGATGAGGATTTGACATAACTTCTAAGAGAACTTTCAAGCTCTCTTTCTAAGATGTCCAGATGGCCACCCAATCATAACTGTGTAAAACCCATGACAGTTTTGGACAGAAAGGATGAGTTTTAAGAATTCCAATTCTGTTTTCTTCCCCCCTTTCCATTTGCATCTTCTGTATGGACAGAACTTTTTTATCTAGTACATCATGCTTGATTATATTCATCTAATGGACTATTTTTTAATAGATTTCTGGGAATCTATGGGTTATCACAAAGGTTAACTTTATATATTCTACTTTCATTCTTCTTCTTATTTAAACAGAACAACTTGTATTGCCTTTCCCTGGAAAATGGTGGATTTCTTGGTATTGACTATGGTGATTGGTCACCCATAGGACAGAACCTTGGGATAAGGTTTCAACACCAAATGAAATAATGCAAATGAAAAGTAGAAAGAGCTACATAAATAAACATAAGCTCCTCTTACAAACAAAGTCTTGCTAGGTCAAACCACAAGTTGAGTGACAGAAAAGAAAGACCGAGACTAGGACGAGGCTTGAAGAGTCCCCAGGGAAATGAAGACAGTCTTGGTCCTAGGATTATTAGCATTTTGCTCAGCTGAGAATGGGACTGAAGGTCCATCCTTGGAACAGACTCTTTGCAAGTCCATAAAAGAAACCAGAGAGGACCCCCAGTGCTGGCTTCCCCAAGGCTTAGCAGAATCTTAACTAAATCCAGAGGACATTGAGATGGTGCAGGCATCCAGGGAGGAGGATCTTGCCTGGGGGGTTCCAGCCTTTTCCATTCTCTCACATGAAGTCAAGAACACTGGCACTTACAGAACAAAATTGCCTCATAGAAGACACTGTAAAAAAGGACACAATTCAAATCCATCTAACAAGAATATTTTATTTCTGAAAAATACAGAGGAGCAAAAGGGATGGGGATGGTATGGGAAAGAAGACACTGATGCATCTGTCCTTCTAACCGATCACCAAACTCACCTCCATATGAGGCTTGCTCTGGCTGAGGCACGTGGATTACATGCCTGAACCTATTTCCTGAGCCCCAGAATGGACTTGGCAGTATAGGCACCTGAGACATCTGGGAACATTCTCACTCCTGGGGAAAGAATGGAGAAATAAGACTCAGGACTTCAGCTCTTTGGTTCAATTCAAATATGGTCCAGAATAATTAAGAGGAGATATTTAAAAGGGGCTTACCTTCAATGACATGCCAATTGGAGTTTTCCAAACTTTAAAAGCTCTTCTTTTTCTTGGCCAGGAAGGGCTGATGGAGGAGAGTGTGGCAGCTTGTCTCCTGGGGGACTTTCAATGACCCTCCACCTGAGACAGGTGAGGGCAGCTCAGCCTTGTGCATGGCGACAATTCTGAGGACTTGACAGCCTCAGAGGTGGCTGATTCCCGGAGACAGGTGATTAGAGAAGATGTTTCTTTATTCTCCCTGACATGACATTTTGGCCTTAGTACCAAATGCACACAAATCCTTTGGCTGACAACCAGATGGCTGGGAGAAATTCAGTGTTTAGGTGTGCATGAAATTACCACCATCCTGAGGCACAGAAAAAAGCTGAAGGCTCAGAATTCAGGCACATCAGGGTCTGAGCCAAAGGAGACACCAAATAGTTTTCCAGGGATAAAACTCTATTATCCAGTCATATGTGGGCTAGAGTTCAAGGAGTTAAAAACACTCTCACAGTGGACAGTGCCAGCAAAAGGCTCAAGGCCATTACCCAGTTGTCAAGTTCATGTCCCACAGAAAGGTAAGTCAGACCAGCCCAGCTCTGAGTTTCCCAGATACTGTCAGGTTCAAATTTGTAATAGATTAGCTGAATAAATGATGTGTCCAGGGTGACACCTGCAGGGACCAGGGCAGAACTGGCTGTCATCCACCAGTTCTGCTCAGTGTTCTCTTCTGCCTCCTATGAAGTCTTCACCATCTGTCCCACAGACCCCACCCCAAGCTCACCCTCAAGGCCCAGGTCACTCAGTTGGCACCCAAGGGATCTGCAGGAGTGTCCACTCTAGGAATTCCAGACGGCCTCTACCTCTGTGAGTCATCATGGGCTCCTCCTCCCACCTCCTTACCATCACAAGCATCAAGTGAACAGGCTTCGGGTGAATAATTGGTTGGCCAGTGTAAAGTATAGCATCATACTATTCTCTGATAAGATTAAAGCATTCAAAACCCTAGTGGGAACAGGACCCTACAAACACAGCAACAGAGCTTCATCAGCAGGACACTCCAACCCACTGAGAGGCTGCAAATTCACATCAAAGCCCTCTTAACCTCTTGACATCTTGCCTGCAAATGCTTCATCAAGACACAGCTATTTATAAATTAATAACACCTTGCAAAAAGTCTTGACCTCAGACACCTCTCCCTCCTATGCCAGCAAAATCAAAGTAGCCTTCCTTGTGAGAATTTGTTTTGCCATTCAGAAAACCAGCACAGAAGAGCCCAGCCTGCCTCTACGGCTTCCACACTCTGGAGGCCTTTGCAAAGGCTGGTGTTAAAGTAAGTTGATCAATTGAAGGTTCAGGATTGTTTTGGATAAGAGAGTAAGATGATATATTTGCATACTCACTTTGAAGAATCTATGAAGTATATTACAAGTGCACCAATGCTGAGAGCAAAGACTAAGACAACCTGTAAAAGAAGAGAAAAATGCCATCACTTAGATGCTGAACACGGGGCAGTCGGTTTATCTTTTGGACACATGCAGCAGCAGCTCAGAAACAGTGGCAACGGCTTTTTGGGATCTGCTGGAAATCTCACCTCCTAGCTTCCCCACAAACTACCCACTACCCCAACATGTGTGCTTCTTACCTTACAGAGGGCAGCAACCTCGCTGCTGGCCAATAGGGGTCAGGACAGACTTTTGTATCCTGTGGTAGGAGATTTTTTATCTGGCCCAGTTTTCTCCAGGTCCAGTTTCTTTACTACTGAAGTTAACACACCTCAGTGAGAAAACTGGCTACAAATTGAGGGTGATACAATTTTTTGGATTTTATGTAACCTAGGGACCAAAGGAACTCATATGCAGGAATATCCAACAGTTTTATTGAGGTATAACTTTCATACCTAAACTTTGCCCATTTCAGTGTACAATTCAATCAATGACGTTGAGTAAATTTACCAAGTGGCAAAATTTTCACGATAATCTAGTTTCAGAATATATTCATCATTCCACTGAGGTCTCTTTTGTCCTTTAACAGCTAACCCCTGTTCCTACCCCCGTCCTCAAGAACCACTGATTTCTTTCTGTCTCCATGAAAGTATTATCATTTTAAAAGCACTAATTTGTTATTTTGTACAAACATCACTCTGTGTGTGTGTGTGTGTGTGTGTGTGTGTGGTTATAACACTTCTCAAGTTTTTGGGAAACAGTTTAGGTGTAGGAAGTAAAAATAGGAAATGCACTAGGCCAGTAATACGACAATTCTTACTCTTCATTACACTCTTCACTCAGCATTAATCACCACTGATAGAAAAGACAGTTTTGGCATTCCTTCAAAGGGTACCTGTCACACTAAAGTCCATCAAATAAACATGGAATGCATAGCAAATCAGGCTGATACTGACACTTCTGTCTTCACTCAATATTCTAATTTGCTTATTTAATCTTTGACAGAGGAGACTTGTAGCGCAACTCAAAGAATGTTCAAAATTTTAAAAAGACACTAAGTCAACAATTAAGCTTGAGAACAAAAAGTAAGGACTAGCACTAGACACAATGCCAGGGATTGTGGTACAAATACCTTTTAGACATGTTCCTATCCTAAACAGACTGCAGGCTGACAGGTGTTAGAAGTGTCACCTCTTCAGAGCACTGCAGAGTGACATTCCGCTGGCACTGGCTGGGGGATAGAGTTGATTCCTGATGTATGTAGAGACTAGGCATGATCAAGCTCTGAGTGTGTATGTGTGTGTGTGTGTGTGTATATGTAACAGAGTGTAAATTGTGCATTGTGTGTCTATGCTAAAGCGGCTGACAGAAAATGAAAGCCATGACAGATATTCATTTAAAACACTGCAAAACTCCATGAAGCTACTGGACAAGGGTGACAGATTACAGAGGAAGCAACAGATGGTGAAAACAACTGGACTCTGTGAAAGGAAGGCTATGCAGTTTCACAGCACCTGACAAACTCTCCTTACAAAAGTGTCAAAATAATACATCACTGGAGCTCATTTTATTTTTCTCTTTTATTTTAAAAACTAAAACGTGCTCTACTAAAGCCAAGGAAACTCCTGTAATCAGTTGACAATAAACATTCACCCACTGCTAAGTCCCCTGTCAGGTCACCTGGGTCTCTCTCCACTCACACATTCACTCATTCATTGCTACATCCCAGACAAAAACACAAACAGATCTCTGTTTTTTCTTCTATTATCTGAATGGGCAGCAAAACAAAAAGCTTAAGATTAATGTTGATCTCTGCTATTTCTGACATACAGGCAGTTAAATCCTAGCCCTGACCTCATTCTCAAAATGCTGCCAAGAGAAGGGATGTGCAGGCCTCCCTGGTGGTGCAAGGAGTTAAGACACAACCTATGAAGCTAACCACAGCCAATACAGCACGAGTTCGATCCCCAGCCTGCCAGGGAGCAATCCACATGGTGTAGCAGACCTCTCCTGACTCGCCCACTGCTCCCCTCAGCAGTGTATTTCAGTCAGTCTGCCTGTTCTGCTCCCCACTCTGTCTCTGGTGAATTCTCTTATCCCCTACACCTCTGGCCTGTACCCCAACTCTTGTACGCATAAAAATAAAAAATAAATCTTTAAAGAGAGAGAGAGAGAAGGGCTGTGTCAGAACAGAGGGGAAGGACCTCTTCTTCATTCATAAACACTGGGGCTGAGACTAATCTCAGTCAGTTTGGCTCAGGGCGTGAGTGTAAGTGGTGAGCTACTAGGGAAGCTCTCTGTGTTAGCTTACACCATTAAAAGCTGGAGCGAAGATGGGATAGAGGGAAAAGGAAAGGTGAGGAGGGAAGAAGGAGGGGAGAAAGGAAAGAGCAAAAGAAAGAAGTTCCAGCAAATGGCATCTACATCATTCTGAAACAAAGTCAAAATCTAAGCTCCCGTGCAACCACCATGATTTCCAGCACCGGGTGGCCAGACAAAGTAGCTGATATTAATTTGTCCCAGATGTCTCCACTTGGCCTCTGTGATGGGGAATAATGTGCAGCTTATTTAAACAAATCAGTCAGTGACAGGAGGGAAGGAATCCTACTGTCTTTAAGAGACAAACTCAAATATCAGCATCTCGCTGGTAGGGTATGAGAGGGAAGAAAACCAGAAGAAAAATGATCCCAGAAACTGTACGATCTGAGGAGAGGACCTATGTGTGGGTACACGTGTTCAACAGGGAGACTTTTCTCCCAATAAGGTACCAGGTGTCCAAACTCTGCCCCCACTTACCCACAGACAACCCCCACCTTACCACCAGGCCTGAAATGATCAGTGGGGAGAGGATCTGCTTTCCAGTACTGTGGCAGGCGATTTTCAAATTTGCTAAATGGTTCTTTATCATGTCAGACATGATTACATTGTCAACCATCCAGGTGCTGCAGAAAATGAATCAACCCTTCACAAGTAGGAATCCAACAGAGATCCATCTGTCTCTCTCTCTCTCTCTCTCTCTCTCTCTCTCACACACACACACACACACACACACCCCTCTGTTTTCTATCTCTGACAGATCCCCCACATTTGAGAACCCTACTCTAAGTATGTGGAAATTCAGTCCAGCTAAATATAAGATTAGATTTCAGCTTAGATGGTAATATATTATAGAGCATTTCCAAATAATTACCTAAGTTTTTCTTTCACATCTGCTATGCATAATGTCCTAGGCAAAACAAAAGGAAGACGTCTACTTGGAGTCACCAAATATACTCCTTTGTAGAATAAGCACAACATAGATGAATCCTATGTGACTATGAAGTTAGTACTCCATTGTATGGTATAGGTGTGGCCAACATATGATATTGACCATGTGGAATATATTTAAATGGAGAAGGAGGAGTAAGAGAAGTGTAGGCACAATGAGGCTCTTGTTTTAATATCCTCTTTGTTCTCGAAGTGTCTCTTCTTCCCATGTTTAGGGCTAATCTCATACGCCCACAGTGAAGGGAGGGTCACCAGGAGTCCTCCTCTATGCTTCCTGTCCCAAGAACAGAAGACACTGAATCCTGAGGAAGCATGGTGAGATGAGAAAAGTACAATACCTGCAACAGGTAAACACTTGCCCTCCAGCAGCTGAGTCATAGAACAACCCTACAACAACCAAACACTTTCAAAGCACTGTCCCAAAGAAGAGACAGTGAACACAGTCCAACATACAGGACAACATGAGCACCCCCTCTGCATGCATACTGTGTTCACTTTCACTCGAGCCTGTCCAGTCTTTCGTTCTCCCTTCTCCATCATCAAATCACCTTGGCTACCGCACGTGGTGCTAATTGCCTTATTCTTAAGTTTACTGAAAACACCCATCTGCCGTGTGGCGATACTGAGTACCGCGTGATATTTACAGAGTGCCAGATTCCTTAAAACAAAAGTGATTTGATAAATGTTACTGGAACAATGGTGCTCGTGAGTCATCTATTTTCAACATTCTAAGATAAAACATGACATGTGCTTGCCCAGAAGAATGCCAGGAACACAGACACAGGGGGAGACGTGCAGACACAGATGCACACATAGTATTAATAAACTTCTATCCCGACACCAGCAGTCTGGGGATAAATAGAGTGGGAGGGGAAATTCACAGCCATCTTAGTAATGGACATTGCAGCAGGCCCTGAAGATCTTTCACAGGTCTCAGGGTGATCGTGCTATCTGAGGGGCACCTCGGGACCCCCAAACTTGCATGCTCTGAAGAGATTCTGCCATCTGTCACATAAAGACAAGGCACACTCTTAGGGTGAAAGATCGTTAATAGAATGACTGTGCATAGAGAGGGAAGAAGAGAAAGGACATGGTTTCCCAATGAAACACCCAAAGTTACCCAGCCCCTGAGGGTAAATGTCCAGACAAACAGGGTTGGCCCAAAGTGGGGCCACTGAACCCCAAAAGCTTGCCACAAGTCTAAGGTACCTTCTGGTGAGGGAACATAGGAAAAGGGCAAAAGGGGCCAGACAAGTCTGGGACAAAAGCAGCAAAATTAAAGTACAAATCAAGATAAAGTCTGCCTTTCTGAGTCTCCCCACATATCACTCACCCAGGTGTCCCTTCCAGTGTCTCTACCTGCCTTGACACCATAAATGTCCTCCAAGTTCCCCAAGTCTCTGATGCAAGTCCAAAACTGAGAAGCAAGGAGGCCCTTCTACCTCACCTCACATGTCTCTCTCCAAGGGTCTCCTCTCCTGTGCTTCCTTCCCTATGTCTCTCATGTGTTCCACAGCTTTCCCTTGCTACTCAGATCCACCCTCATTAGGTGGGTCAGGGAACACCCAACATGCCCTTTTTATGGTAATGCTTCTGTTACAATCATAAAAATGTTTTTTAAAACATTTATTTATTTATGCATACAAGAACTGGAGTGTAGGCCAGAGGTGCAGGGAGGGGGTGAGAGGATTCACCAGAGACAGAGTGGGGAGCAGAACAGGCAGACTGAGTGAAATACACTGCTGAGGGGAGC